TAAGCGTCATACTATCGATTCTCGGATTTTTTTTTTTTTTTTTTTTTGCAAAGATTATGAAATCTGAAAGCCAAATGTTTTGAGACAATGTAGTAGGATCGCGCAATAAATATCATTTAAATGTACCTCCACGTCACCAATGAGAACGAAAGCACGAATGAGAAAATCAGCGATCAGTAGCTTATTCGACGGACTTCTCAGTGATTTCTCGAATAATGCTGAGCGATTCGTGTCTCATAAACTCTTTCAAAGCTGATCGGATTTCTAGTGACGATTTGACGTCCTTGGAAGCTAGAAGCGATTCCAGAATTGCAATGGTTCCGTCGCCGAATCTGCGTCAAAATAAAATCGTTTGCAACTGATCAATTCAGGTGTCTGCAAAAATGGAGGGAAGATTTTATACGGATTAGGATGAAGATTACTACATTCGATTTTGCATTTGGGTGCTAAAGAGGGAGATTTGCCGCGAGACTTCGTTGGACATTCTGTGGATTTTCTGCCGTTTGATTTGCGTCGGTGGAAATTTGGCGGTTTTTATTGAACAGTCACAGGCCTTAAAGCTTAAACAGAGCAATTTCAGTATCAGAGTTTGTGGGCCTGAAGTAATGTGGACATGGCCCGTGTTCAAAATGAGCTAGGGCCAAAGAATAATAAAGTTTGCGCCGGAAATATGTAGTAGAGCTGGGAAAAAAAATCCAACACCCCGCCCAATCTGCCCAATCCGCCAATTAATTTTAAAAGATGGGTTGAATTAATTGGGTTATGGGTTTTATTGGGTTGGATAAGAATAACCCAACTTATTCATTGGATGGGTTGAATTTTTTATTAGGGTTTCAATACCCAACTTGTTTAAATGTATGATCCTAGATATATTCTAATTAATTAGGTGATGAATTATCTAATTGTACCAAATCAATAAAAAAATACCGTCTAATATATACTATATGTATATAGATCGTGATATTAACTTCGAATCAATATAGTTGACTTGCATATTCTATTTGGTTTTGATTAATTATGGCAACTTGGCATGGCCAGTCCAACGATTTCATTTCGTCTAAAACAAAGACCTCCAATCTTCAACTTCATGAGAAGTTTACAATCAGCAAGGCAATTAATTTTCCCTCTTAATTAGCGAGTCCAAGAACCAAAATTTAATTGTCTCCAGTCATTTAATGGAAGAAAGCAATTTGCATATTATCCCCAGAATGTAGTTCTGATGCATGGACCTTTCACAATAGTTTGCAAAATTTCTAGAGTCATGAATCATAAAATTTTCGAGAATATAAGGACTAAAGTACAAACTTATTTTCTATAATTTCAAAATTATTATACAACAAATTATATGTCTCTTACTTACATTTTCAAGTATAATATAATCTAACATTCAATAATTTAAATACATAGAATATTACAATTTACAATAAAACAGCTATGAATAGTAAGAGTGTTAATAAGTTGTGACAAAAAATAAGTTTCAATCAATTAGTAGTATTTAAAAAGTATAAAGTAAACAATTTTTTTAGCTAATCTATTTAAATGTATAATTTATTATCTGAAATTCACAATACAAGCAATATAAAATATTATTCTATTTATGATGTGTTTTCAAGGAACTTAAGAAGTGAGTGTGTGTTTGTGTGTGTGAAAATACATTTATGCATGTGAAAATGTGTTTATATGTGTGAAAAAATCTTTTTTTGTGTGTTAAAATATATGTGAAAAAGTTTATGTATTAAAATGTATTAATTAATTTGTTGGGTCATATTTGGGTCATAGGCTTGAGATAATCCAATATGACCCAACCCAAAATCAACCCAATCTAAAGTTAGACGGGTTGGGTATAACTCATTTAAGTGAAAATCCAATATTAACCCGCCCAACCCGCCCAATTGCCAGGTATAATATGTCGTCATAGTTTTGAGGTATTTCCAAATATTTGTCCATTAGCAAAGATATTTAAATCAAATGACAACAAAAAAAAAAGAGGGAATAAAAAAGAAAACTCAAAACGTAAATTCATAGAATTTAAAGAATACGATAGACATACTTAGAGAAGACTGACATTCTAATTTTTCAGTCAAGGAATACGTAATATTACCTTTTTTTAAATAAATTATATACATTATTACTTTTGGATCCATAATACATGTACAAAAGTCAAATTTTATATAATTGCCATTCATCCAAAAATAATAGTATATACACTAATGCATAGAAGACTAATCTTTTCTTTTTTTGGACAAAATATTTGAACACTTATTATACTATTGCTCGTATTGACTTTTGACTATCAAACAATTTTTCATCATGAATTAACCACTAAACTAACTAATCAGTACAAGCGTAGCCATTTTCATGAACTTTGCCTCTTAATCCATCAAAATAATCAAAACACCAAATGGTTTTTTTTTATTACTAACTCAGCCCTATACCCTTGCTCCATTAAGTTCTAGTCCCTTTTAACTTTCTCGACGATAACAGCTACATCATTCCTCTTTGCAGAAAAAATAGTACTAAGTGTATCAGATCCTATTTCTTGTAGTTTTTCAAGATCAATGTGTGTGGTATTTTCGCCAGCTACAAAATTCATCAAATATAATTAACACTTTGAGTGGATAAAAATACATTTGGACCTTTTAATTATTTTGTAGATTAAGAGTCAAAATCCATGAAATGGGCATGGTTGTGCTAATTAGTTAGTTTAGTGACCAATTTGTGATAAAAAAATTATTTAATAGTCAAAAGTCAATACAAGTAATAGTTTATTGGCTTATGAGATTTTTGCCTTTTTTTTGAATGCCTTTCTTTCGCTTCTCCAAACTATTTCAAAGAATTTGTTAATTTTTTCACATGTATACGAAAACATGGTACAGTGGTCTTACAAACTACGAGCATTTTTTCGACTGATTATTTTAACTAATTATAAATCTAATTTTGGTTAATCCGTTCATGTAATGCTCTCGTTTTTTTTTTTTAGTTAGATTGTAGTTTTTAATAAGGAAAAAAGTTAAAATCAATAATAATTCAAATAATAAATTTTACCAATTCTAATTATTCTTTATAAACACTTTCTATAACTAGATATTACAAAACCTAAAACAAATGAAAACAAGGCATGCATACAAAAGATAATTAATAGTTTAAAAATATATTTTCGCCACAAAAAAAAAACTCAGTAGTCAAGAAATGTCTCTTAGAATTTTTCCAACTGCCATATGTATGTTGTATGTGTGTGTATCTAATCTAATCTATATAACTATGATATAGGAAGGAATTGCTTCTTCCTGTAGCAACTTCATGCACTGCCACATGGCACAATGAGTGAGTTGAGAAGCTCCATTTTCTTCTTGCTCTTGCTTTCAATATATTTTGCTGTTGCATGGGGGATAATTTGGGTTGGATTTAACAATGACACAAATGATATGTAAGGTTTTTTTTTTTAAACTTTTATTCTTTTTTTATTTGTTGTAAGTATTAGACAATACAAAACTAAGTAGTTGATGTTAAACTTAAATAAAAGGCCTATCAATATCAAATGCAATTATTTAAGAAGTAAATACGAATACATTGATATTTCTTTTTTATTTTTTTAATAGAAGAGGGGTGGAAATGCATCAATATTTCTATTACCGTTTGAATTTATATTTGTTATCGTTTGTATTAGCATCTTGAATTGTAATATCTAGATTTGGTTAATGCTGTAGTTGCCTGTTGTGTTGCCACGTGGCAGCTGGAAGAAGAAGCTAGTATCTTGCATTTGTTGTGGTGTGTTGACTTTTTGTGTGATGGTATTTCAAGAAGCTAAATGGATTGCAAATTTTGGCCCATGAAATAATGATATGATATGTAGTATGACACGGGAAAGGGCATTGCACCTGCTTGTTTGGGATTTACCGCAGTGATTCTACATTGAATATAATTTTCTGCTATCATAAATGTACATATAAATGCTAGCAACAAATGTAAAGGTTTTTTTTGGCTACCTTAAAAAAATTTAACACCAACAGGAAATGTCAAATAAATTAATGATTATCCTAATATTATAATTTATAATGAATAACATTTTTTATTGTTTATTATTTCTTTGCTCAAGAATAAACAATTAACTGAGAAGTATTTGATACCAATATATATCATGCGAGTAATAAATTTTTGAATCGTCACCTCAACACGTGTAGTAGCGGAATTAGAATCTATAATACACATACTATCTAAAGTAGTACCCAATACAATAACTACACTCAAAATAAGCTCACAATCCCAAAATACCCATACTCTTGCGGTTGAAATTCAAAACCATTCTTTGACCCAAATTCATTCTTATATAGTATAAGGAAGCATTGCAAATCAGATGTGATTACACATATCTAAGTAAAGTTTTGATATGAATGTGCAAATTTACATGGGATGTGATAATATTATCATCGAATAAGCATTACAGATGACTTGTTAATCTTTTAGAATGTATTTATTGATTGCTAACTTGTGTATTTTTTCAATAAAATACTATTGAACCATACAACGAGGATTCATGCGCTGAGTACTGAACCATCTCTTGCAAAGGCACAAAATGCTTTAGCATTTGTAAGTTTCAAGTCGTGCTAGGAGGAGGATTCATGCGCTAAGTATTGTGAACGATGAGGAGAGAACTCATTCCACTCCTTAGTGCAGGGTACTCTAAACATGTATGAAGAGGACTTGGTCCAATATGTATTTTTTTTTTTCGGAGACCATAAACCTAATCTATCTTACATTAAGAGGAACGAGCGGATCTAAGAAAGTCCAGGGATAAGGCGGAGAGGACTGAACCACTATCGGACCATACGAATGCACAGCACACCCGTCTGAATTTTACCAAGCAGGTGGTGGCCGCTGGGCCAAAGGCCCAGTGGTTGGTCCAATATGTATAGTTACCCTTTTTTTGATTAATAAAATAAAAGCCTCTATCGTTTCGAGAGACCCAAAAAAAGAAAAAAGAAAAAAAAGTAAGTCGTGCTACGAGCATAAAGGATTCTCCAACAAGCCCAGCTTACCACTGCTGATGTCGCGAATTACGCGCCCCCTCACTGGCACAGTGATTAGCTGAACAACACCTTTTGCTTTGCTTCTTTCCCCAGAACTTGAGATCAATACTTTTGAATAAAAGAAAACAGGAAAGGAGTCCCCGGCGGCAGCTGCCTTCTCCTCAAAGGCGTGAGGTAGCAATGGCCGGACGAAATCATCCTTACTCAAGACAACAGCATCGTCGTTCTTCAATTGACGGACCCCGAGTTCTCCACCAAGGCCTTCAGCGACCTCACCCTGCCGCTCTAATCGAGGCCCAACAGCGGGAGATCCAAGCTCTCCTCCTCGACAACCAGCGCTTGGCCGCCACCCACGTGGCACTCAAGCAGGAGTTGGCCGTCGCCGACCAGGAGCTCCGCCACCTCTCTTCCACAGCCGTCAGCGTCAAGGCCAATACCGATGCTCGGTGCACGAGGTTTACGAGAGGTCGCTCAAAACCGAGGCGGAGCTCCGCTCGATTGATGAACTCGGTGCTGATTTGTCTCAGGTAAAAACTGATATTCAGAAAATGACGGCCGACCGTAAAGAATTCACGTCAAAGCTGCGTGAACTCAACGAAGAGCTCGTGTTGGCCCACTCTGAATTGGACCAATTGCCTGCGATCCAAGAGGAAATTCAGGCCATGCGTCAGGAAATAAAAAGAGGAAGGTATATAAATACTATGAAATTCTCTCCCATTCACTTGATTTTCATGGGATAAGGCTAAATTTGATGAGTTATACCCTATGTTTTTTTGCATTCCTTAACATAAAGGTGATTTATCTGTAAGCTAAACATTATAGCGAGCATAGAATAGGTATCGTCTTAGGGATCAAATGCTTGATCATGATTGATTAACGTATTGGTGGAGGAATTCGAATATTCGTCCTGGCAAGAGGTCAATCCGTGGCATCTCAAGGGAGCTATGGTTAACTTGCAACATTTGTTGGCAAGCAAGAGGTATTTAAGCTACTTGACATATAATTGGCCAATGTAGGTTTTTTATATTAATGCATTCATTAGGAAATGTTTTTTCACACTTAAAAGAATGTGCAGCTGATATTTTTAGTGCGCATTAATGTGAGTACTGTATTGCACGCAAACGTGCTGAAGTTTTCAAGGTTGTAATGAATGACCAATGTATGTGTAATTCGAGAAACTGAGATTGATATTTGCACAGAAAGATGAAAACAAATAAAGAAAGAAAATTACTTGATACACGAGGAAGACAGAACACTTCTCACAAAAGAAAGAAAAGAAGATGAAGATAATAAAGAAAGATAAGATCGGTTGAAGGACCATATCTACAAGCCAATCCTACATGGTCTGATGAGGTTTTCCTCTGTGCCATACTTCTTGCCTCACTAGTTTTGTAATGTAGGACATGAAAACAAATATGGTAGAAAGATAAAGATAAGATCAGTTGAAGAAACATATCTACAAGCTAATCCTACGTGGTCTGATGAGGTTTTCCTCTGTGCTATACTTCTTGCCTCACTAGTTTTTGGAAGGTAGGATATGAAAACAAATATGGTAGGATAAATATAGTTCTGCAAGATAAATTCATTATGTTAATGCGTTCCTATTAGCTCAAAGATTCGCCTATTATTTTATAATGTTTTCTTCTACTGTTGGTTATTTTGAAATAGGGCGGCTATTGAATATGAGAAGAAGATGCACGCCACTAACCTTGAACAGAGCCAGATTATAGAGAAAAATATGATATCTATGGCTCATGAAATTGAAAAACTGCATGCTGAGCTTGCAAATGCAGAAAAGCGAGCAAGGGCAGCAGCTGCAGCATCCACTGCAGCTACTCCAGGTTATTTTAGATTCTAGATCTCAACTTTCTTACCTTCTTTTGCCCTCTCCCTACTGATTGTTAAATCTTTATAGCATATCATCATATTAACCCCTGGAACTTTTGTATTGCAGCTCCTGGTTATGCGTCTGTCTACTCTGATGCTGTATATGGTGGGAACTTGTATTCGGACCACTACCCAATGCAGCAGGTTTGTCTTAATACAACACAGTTATGAATCCCAGTGCATTCCATGGAAGGCTCTTTAGGTTGCGCACTAAGACTCCATACTTTTATCCATTCAGTTAGAAGGGTCCATGAATCATTGACTTGCTATACATTTTGATGATAACCCTCAATCTGAGACTGTCTCTATTATCACGTTTAAAGTGATTCTCATATTGAACTTTTATTCTTTTTGAATAGAAAAATGAGGCAAAAGTGGAAATGTTATGGTACATTTTGCATTTATGCTTGTCGAGCATCGTTTTCTTTCTGTGAATTAATGCATTATCAAATATGTCCATTTTTCCAAAAGATTAAAGTGCAACTACTTCCAGCAAGCCAATTGTCTTGCTGCTTTAATTTGCTCACTTCCTGGCATGCCGGTGATTGCAAGTGACATGCCATCTGCATGGGTAATAGTGCATAAGCAAATTAAAGCCTGAAACTGTTGAGTAAATTTCGCTGTCTCTCAAATGTTGTCATAATCATGGACTGCCCATCAGATTTTTAATGCTGAATTGGTTGGTTAACATTTTGGTTTGATCACCTCCACATTGCATAGGTTTGTTAAGCATAATTTTGGAACTATATGCCAAACTTCCTCATCAAAGAGAGAATGAATGGCTTTCATTTTAGTTAGCAACGGTAGGTGGAGTTTGTATAACATGATAAGAGAGCTTAAACTGGAGTTGCTGGGATTCTCGCTTGTTGGCTTTGTGCAAGTATGTGCAGTTTGAGAGGACTGGCCAGGGAACGAAACAATCATTGTTGACAAATACATAAACAATTTGTCCTGCCTTTTGTATATAGATCTATCAACCCCATACTGCTTTCTTGATATAGAAGAGTTGAAAATCAAGACAAGAAGATTATCGAGATTATCTTTCTAGTCTAGTTACAAAGAGAAATGCACAGCTGTTAGATAAAGAACAGAAATCGTAGAAAAAAGGAGATCAGCAGCTCCTTATACAATGTAGTCAAGCATAAACACCTATATCCATGAAATTAGTTTATAAGAACCTCACTTCTGCCAGCCCGGAGAAATGAAGCGACTTCTGCAGTTCTGCTGCTTGCTAGTTTCCCTCTCCACCCTCATATTAGTCTGGTACTACTGATTCGTCAGCAATAGCAATCTGGCGCAAACTTGTCTAGAGAAAAAAATCTTGTATTTTATTGCCCAATGTTGTAATGCTTGCTGTTTTAGATCATTTCTATCCTAATTTTTTGTTTGCCTGCCCAGTGTGGTGTAAGTGGTCTAACTCTGTTGCAGTTCTTTTTGGCCATATGTCAAGTTTCTATTAGATGTTAAATCCTAATTTTCAACTGTCACAGATTCTTGTGTGAACTCTAGAAGAGTTGGCATTTTCATTTACACGCCCTACTTAACAAGAACATCTCAAGTGTATGAATTGTTTTCTTTATTTCAGGTTCAAGGCAGTATTTGACATTTGATTAACTCACTCTGCTTGACAGAAACATCTGAAAGTGTATGTATTGCTTCGTTTATTTCAGGTTCAAGGTGGTATTAATGTCAGTACTCAGTACGGCCCTGGAGGAGTGCCTCATGGAACTAGTGCGCCTTATGACATTCAATGGTCAAATGTACATAGATAGGTTGTTGCTGTAGAATTTGTGAAGCTCAACTGAGAAATTTTGCTTCATTGGCTACCTACCCCGCAGAAATTTGACCAGCTGTTTAGTGAGCTAAAAGAACAGTTTGGTTGAGTTAAAAGAGCGTCTAGACAGAAATACAGAATTAGGCGTGCAATTTTAAAAACATGTAAAGAGGATTAGAAATGTGAAATTTTAAAAACTTACAAAGAGGTGCCTACAAGCCATTGGATTCACCCCAATGGCTAGGGGAAGCCTCTTAGAATCCTCTGCGATGTAGGTTTGGGTTAGAATCATATGCTTAGTTGATAGGGATAGAAAGCGCGTGGAGTTAGGAGGATTTTTTTTTGAGAATGAATTGGTGCTTGGAGGTAGAGGTGTTAAAATGGGTGATTTAGATGGTTTTGGATTGGTTAAAATGGGTAATATGTATAAGTGAGTCAATTCATTTATATCCATTTAATTAAATGGGTATAAATGGGTAGGTGAAAAAATGAATTGGATAATCCAATTAATCATATATAACTCATTTATTTTAACTTTTTGTAAACTCATTTATATTCATTTTTGTAAACTAAGTTGTCAATTTATGCCATCTTTTGTGCCCATCATTAGTTTTAAATATGTACTTGTAATAGTCAATAAGTTTAATTACCAATTTTTTTTCATCTGTATTCTATGTTGTAAAATTACATACTATTTAATAATTGAACGATAAGAATATAAAATTTGAACTAAGTACTATAAAAGTTAATACAAAATTTTGATTTAAAATTTTGAACCTCTAACATTTTTTTGTGTAAATTTAAAATGAATAAAATTTCATTTTGAAAAGATAGGAAAAGAGGTTAAAACTTGTCATAAATTGGTAATGCTGAAAAATGGGCAAGTTAACAAACTAAGATAAAATAAAATGATAAGATAAAATCAACAAATAATAATAATAATAATAACAATAATAACAATAACAATAACAATAACAATAATAATAATAATAACAATAAGAATAATAATAATAATAACAATAACAATAATAACAATAACAAATAATAATAATAATAACAATAATAACAATAATAACAATAATAACAATAATAACAATAATAACAATAATAACAATAATAATAACAATAATAACAATAATAATAATAATAACAATAATAATAATAATAATAATAATAATAATAATAACAATAATAATAATAATAAGAACAATAATAATAATAATAAGAATAATAATAATAATAAGAATAATAATAATAATAATAATATATAATAATAATAATAATAATAATGATAATAATAATAATAATAATAATAATAATAATAATGATAATAATAATAATAATAATAATAATGATAATAATAATAATAATAATAATAATAATAATAATAATATATAATAATAATAATAATAATAATAATAATAATAATAATAATAATAATAATAATAATAATAATAATAATAATAATAATAATAATAATAATAATAATAATAATATAATAATATAATAATAATATAATAATAATAATAATAATAATAATAATAATAATAATATAATAATAATAATAATAATAATAATAATAATAATAATAATAATAATAATATAATAATAATAATAATAATATATATATATAATAATAATAATAATAATAATAATAATAATAATAATAATAATATAATAATAATAATAATAATAATAATAATAATAATAATAATAATAATAATATATAATAATAATAATAATAATAATAATAATAATATAATAATAATAATAATAATAATAATAATAATATAATAATAATAATAATATATAATAATAATAATAATAATAATAATAATAATAATAATAATAATAATAATAATAATAATAATAATAATAATAATAATATAATAATAATATAATAATAATAATAATAATAATAATAATAATAATAATAATAATAATAATAATAATAATAATAATAATAATAATAATAATAATAATAATAATAATAATAATAATATAATAATATAATAATAATAATAATAATAATAATAATAATAATAATATAATGAAAAAAAGTAGTTAATGTCATGAGAAAATGAAAATTTTGAAAAAAAAAAAATGGGCGAGAGAAGAGAGGAGATTTGGAGGAAAACAATTTTAAATGAGTTAATTGAATTTGATGAGTTATCTAATAATATCGGATAACTCATTTATACTCATATGCAAAAATTTAAGATAATCATACTTATCTATTCATGGGCGGGTATGAAAAAATTTAGCTAAATGGATTTGTTTGTCACCTATACTTGAAGGAGTCATAAGTGAAATTATCAGAGTATTTAGGTCTTGTTTGGAAAGCAATTTTTCAAATTGCTACGTTTTCGTGAATATATTTTTCAATCACCTTTTTATCTAGTACTATATATTAAATCGTTACAGTAATTTTTCTATAAAAAATTTAAAAAATGCAATCCAAACATGACCTTAGTATTTAGTGTTTCATCTTAAATTATTTTCTGCCTGGTTACTTCTAGATTGAGGGTCAAGGTGTAAAGGAATTAGAAGTATTGCAACTATGTTTTTTTTTTTTTTTGTTGATTTTAGATTTAGGACCAATTTTTTTTTTCTTTTCAGTTAATTTTCAATATAGATGTGCCTTGCGAGTGTCTTGATAATTTGATCTGAACCATCTGCTCTGGTATGCCAGTTTCTCTCCAAGTCTTTGGCAGGGCTTCTTTTTAGGGTGTGTTTGGTTGGAAGTAAAATATTTTCTTTGGGAAAATATTTTCCGTTGAAGTAATTTTTCATGCAAATCATTTCCCTTTCATCATTTTCAGGTGTTTGGTTAGCTTATTGAAAATATTTTCTTACTTCATTTTTTTGGTGTTTGTTTAACTTTTGAAATATTTTCACTTTTATCTCTATCTTTACTTTCTACACATTATAACTACATACTTCTTCCCATGCAAAATAAGAAAATTTATCTCATTGTTTAACCTTAAAAAAATCTTGGAGAAATGTATATATGAATAAAAAATATCTCCTTAAGCAATAAACAAATTGCTGGCCATTTAGTGTCAAATATCAATCACATGCAATGCTTATTGTGACATATATCTTGCACTCTCACTGTTGAAAGTTTCCCTAGAAAAAATGTTCCAATTATACATAATTAATTACTAGCATAGAATGAGCAGGATGAGGTTTTTTTTTTTTTTTTTTGAATATACTAGGGGAGGGTTGGGTGGTACGGGGAAGGGAGTGTAAGGAAGAGATCTTGGGTTCGAGTCCTCCTGTTTACACTAAAAAAAAAAAGAACATACTACAAAATGTTTTCAGTAAGTTTAGAACATACTACAGGCGGGATGCATGCATTTCGGAAAATAACTTCAGTAAGTTTGAAAGGGAAGTTGTTTTCCATAAGATGAGTGAAAATATTTTACATAGTAAAATGTTTTCAGTAATTTTTGTGCAACCAAACACGGAAAATTAGGAAAATATTTTTCTGGAAAACATTTTTACCCGAAACAAACGGACCCTTAGTATTTCTGTATCTTCTTTCCTAATTCCTATGTTGTTTAATAACGACATGGCTTCCATTCCGATTTCTTTTGTTGCTAATTTCCTAAATAGGTCATCGCTTACCGTTGAGTAATGGCACAGTAAATTTTTAAGCAGCTATCAAAGTCATTTTCTAGCGAGGGAAGAACTTTGGAAATGGTTATTGTGTCATTTACTTAAAATATTGGCGTGTAACAAAAAATCTATTTGGATGGTGTATTTTTTTTTGATATTTATATAAAATTTTATTATAACTTATTATAAAATTTATAAAAAATTTTTTTAAGTATTTGGAGAAATTAAAAATATTTCCTTTCCTTTCTTCTTCCTTTTTTTCCCCCTTTCTTTCCCCTCATCTACCTCCTCCCCCATCTTACTTCTCTCGCACCAACATTGCTATTCCTCCTTCCTAACTCTCCATTGTCACCTCACCCTCTCCCTCTCCCTCTTTCCATTCCTTTCCACTCTCCCTTCTATCATCTTCTTCCCTTATCACCCCTCTTTCCCTCTCATTTACCTTGCCCCTTACCAAAGGCTGTAGGAGAGGTCGCGAGAGTGGTGAGGGAAGAAGGAAGGAGTACAAGAAGGAAAGAAAAGAAGAGAGAAGGATAGGAAGAGAAGAAACAAAAAAATGAAAGGCAAGGTCGCAGCAATAGTGAGCAGATTGAGGTGAATGGGTGATGGTAGATTAGGAAAATAGGCGTATTTTTTACTGCAAAGGTTGGTGGTAGATTAGAAAAATAGGGGCGTTTTTAATGTTTTGAGATGTCTATTTTAAAAATTTTATACTTTTTTTTTTGGAAAATAATATATAGGCAAAATTGTATCTTAAAAAGTAAATTGGTCACCAGATAAAAACATAAGATGCAAGCTTGATTACAGGTAAAGAGTTCAAACTTAAATAGTCACTTCTTTAATTTAGAGGTGCGAACCACCCTCCCTTAATCCAGTTAAACCCTTCCTTGAATAGGGTTGATAGAAATAATATTTAGGCTAACGATTGATATATAAATTTTAAAAAAAACCTAAAAACTATCTTTCACTTGCGCTTCTATCAATTACATATATCAGAACACCCACGTACACCACCCAACACCCACCAACATCCCCCCCCCCCAAACCCAAAAATAAGCATATGTCACCGGACGGGGGCAAACAACAAAGAAAAATCAAAGTCAATTACAAAGAAAAAAAATTAGACCGCTTGCCTCATTTCGTGTTTATGTATGATCTGCTCCTGAAAATAACCTTAGGATTACAAACGATATTTACATCGTCAACCAGGTAACCATAAGAAAGAAAAGGGCTACAACGGATAGAGAGAGAGAGAGAGAGAGAGAAGCGAATAGAACAACAACATAGCCGCAGCAACAAGCTAGGGAGAGTGACTCAGATGAACACCAAAAACAGTAAGAGCCTTTTGCAACACTTTGACAATGTTGCTGTGGATCAGACCCAAGCGCAAGAACCAAAGCTGACACCTTAGCCACGTTTGATCCCAAGTCGATCACAAAACGTAGTCCCAGTGAGCTCCACGCGTTTCTACAGCGCACCCACTTCCAAAGGTTTCAAGCCTTGCTATTATCACGAGGTTTGATTCCGAATAGATTCAATTCCTAGGTCTACTATATAACCATGCCTAATAAAAAGATATTATTAATACAATTCCCTTGCAATATAATACCAGATTATCAATGATATGATAAATAAAACATA